CTGTTCAATAATTTATGACAGAGTGTATTATCTATGAAATGCCATAGAGTCATCCAAATGAATGAAATATATACTAACATGGGAAGATTCTCTAGATGCTGTCTTTGTGAAAAACTGAGAGGGTGTACATAAATGCACGTAAGTATGTACACATATATCACACATATATGCACGTTTGTGAATGTACGGAAAACTGTCTAGAAAGATCTACACAAACTTTTACTTGTGATTACCTGTGAGAATGGAAATGAATTTGGGGAAGGAGTGAATGGAGTTTTCATTTTCCTTTGATAGATTTTTGTGCTGTTTGAACGCTTAATTAGATTATTTGTGTACATAAAAATACATTTATAAAAAAGAAATACCTTTACTTCTCCCAATATTGTACTTTTTTTGACTTGTTCATAGTGTACAACAGAACTTATTCGAGTACACATGTTTAATTTTTATAAAATGAGAACTTACATATAAATGTATTTTTAAAATTTACTGGTTTTCTATTGGAATTTATTCTTCATATAATGCTACCAAATTAAAATGAGTTAATCAAACACTACAATTTGTTAGGAAAACCATTCTGAATGTCAAAGACTGGGCTGAGTGCAGTCGCTACATCTCAGGGGTCAGAACTCAAAGACACAAACACACACCATCGTCCCAGTTATCCAGAGGTCCTAGCCAGATCAGTGTCACCATAAATATCCAACTTATGGTGATCAACTTTACTGGAGAAGTGTAACCACAGTGTTAGATACTAGCATGAATTTTTCCTGGCCCCAGAAGTAGAAGGGAGAAAAGGAGAGAACAAATAGGTCTGGCTTGATATGGGCATGTGATGGGTCCAAGACTGCATTATGATAGGGTAACGTACTCAAATAAAGAAAAAGCCTATATATTCAGGATGTCTGAAAGCCCTACATGCACTTACAAAGAAACATGACATAGGAGAAAACAAAACATCAGGAAGAACTACCCCGAGGAGAAAGGGGAGTTTCTTCTACATAGCAGACATGATTACAGGAGCAATAGGTAAGGAGCAAGCAGGTCCCCGTGGACTTCAGGGAATGGATTTGTTATTAAACTGTGAAGTTCTACCACTGCTTCCTTTATCACGGGACATGCTCCCCAGCATGTCACCACCACCAACACAACCACTGCAGATACTGTAGCACCATGATGCATGGCTGCCCTACAGAGGCTGTTTCTAGCCTTGGGATAAGTATTTGCTTTCCAGAAAGACGACCAGGGTATTCTTCATGTAATCATCTGTTCTGAAATGTTTTTTAACAATTCAATTTTCAAAAATTTGATTGGCACGCAAATTCTTCAATTTTTTATATAACACCTGTTATATAAGCAAAGCATGTAAACCCGTGAGATATAAATAAACGGAACACCTGTGAAGTGTGGGGTCAGACTACAAGGTCACTCAGGTCCCTGCCGGTTTTAGCAGCTGGTGAAACTGAAGTGTGTTGGGAGGAAAAATAATAGGATTATAGTGATCTTCTGTGGCAGCAGTAAAAACTGGGTTCCTTTCTAAGTTACATCCTCTAAAAATTGAGTTTCTATCCTAAGTTATGTCTTCTGGGAGTCCAAAGCAGACACATATGTGCCCACACTGGCTCTCACCCCCATCTGTTCTGGGCATAAAAACTTAACTGTGTCTCTTCAAGAGCAGAATAAATGATGCTGATGCTTGTCTTCTGGCCCAGAAACTAAAACTAAGAAAGAAACCAAAACATAGTCCTTTTAAAATGATTCAGACTTCAGGGAAAAAAAAAAAAAGACTTAATTTTAGAAATGTTCACTAGATGGTGTTGTGCTAAACTATATTTTTTACAAAACTTAAATTGTTGTGAAACACACATAACTTACAATTTTCCATCTTACTCATTCTTGATATGTTCAACTGCACTTTGTTTACCTACCTGGTAAACTGTCGACTCTCTTCATGAACCTCCATTTCTGTGCTTTTAAATTCATTTAGTTCTTTCCTTATTGCTGCCTAAGTAGGAAAGAATAGATACACAGAGTTGTTATTTAGGTCACAAACTTCCCCAGCATGTATAGAGTCAGTGAAGCAGAGATTCTTTTAAGAAGTGCCTTGGAGAACAGGATTCCTAATTCTACTAGGTGGAGGTATGACAACTATGATACCAAGACTACAGCCAAACTAAAACCAGGGCAGATTCCCTTCCAGGGCCACCAACGAGGTGGAGAGGAAGCAAGCCTTGGCCAGACTCATCCTGGGGCCCGATCTATGAGCCACACACATCCCCCAACCTCGCTGACCACAAGAATAGCACAGGTCATGAGATTTTCCGAGAAACAGTATCGTTTTCCTATGAAAGTACTGCCTGTAATACCACCCATAGCAACATGGTTTTGACGAGCTGCCACAGAGCTATGGAGAAGGCAGTTGCTATTTATTCTTTAATATTGAAAGTCTGGACAGTTAGAATTAAAAATTTCAGCACAGTATTTCAGGCCACTCCAAGAAGTATCAAGTAGAATGCTATTACTGTTACTACTTAATAAACACCTAATCCATGCCATATAAACGCTGAGGTTGGAACAGATGCTCGTGTCCTTCAGGTTGAAAAGCTGAGACACTCATCAAAATGTTAACATTTGTTATCTATGAACAAGAGTCGCTGGATCACGGTTGGTTTGGGGGTTAAACTTTGTGCCTATCTTTATTTCCTAATTTTTCTACAAAGAAGTTTTTCCTCATGTAAATTAAAAATACTAATAGAAGCACCCCCACAACCTCTGGAAGACAGACCCTTCAGCCAAAAAGTAGAATAGCATTACAAACCACAGAGGACGACTTCACTGGGAGATAAGAAAATCTACCTTGTGGTTGGAAAGCAAAGAATTATAGAAAAAGAAAAAGAGGAAAGCCCTGAGGCCTCTCTCTGGCCTTCTTCCATCACTAGCTATCACTGCAATATACAACCTTTTCCCCAAGGCTCCTTTCAGTGTTACATTTAAATGCCACAGTCAGATTGTTTTGTTTCCCCAGATATATTCCTCAGCCCCTGTAGTTTTCTATGAGGAACCTGTGGCTGAGAACTGTGGCAATAGTTCTTGCTACTGGTTTTTGGAAGAGGATGAACCAAGTAGAGAAATATTTGTGGACCTGAGTCTCTTGTGATAAGACTATATCTCTTGTTTCACAAATGAGATTAACAGTGAGGATACTTTATTTTACTCACTGTAAAAACTAACTGATACCCAGAACCAGTAGCTAAAATAGCAGAGATGCTCTATACTCATCACCAATTAACATCTATCAAAAAGTCTTCCTTAAGCAATCCGAGTGTCCACTGATAGATGGATAAAGAAGGTGTGGTTTATACATACAATGGAATATTACTCAGCCATAAAAATGAAATATTGCCATTTGCAACAACATGGATGGACCTAGAGGGTATTATGTTAAGTGAAATAAGTTAGACAGAGAAAGACAAATAGCACACAATTTCATTGTATATGTGGAATCCAAAGAACAAAACAAATGAACAAATATAACAAAATAGAAACAGATTCATAGATACAGGGAACAACCTAGTGGTTGCCAGAGGGGGAAGGAAGCAGAGGGATGAGTAAAATGGATGAGAGAGATTAAGAGCTTCCAGTTACAAAATAAATAAGTCACAGGGATGTAACGTACAGCACAAGGAACATAGTCAGTAACACTGTGATGACTTTGTATGGTGACAGATTGCCTTCTTTCCAATAAAATGAGCTTCAGGGCCCAAGTTATCCAGAGAATTGTCTCAGCTCTCCATGCTGTGTGTGCTGGCTTGTAATTAGAAATAATGAGTCAGTTATAGGCAATTAATGTAATGCAAAATTATAGGGACTGGTTGTTTCAAAATATGTATCAGGAAGATATGACTACAGGCAGTTAAAGAAATGTAATACTCAGCTTAAAAATTCGCTGAAGAAAGAGAACTCAGTTTTATTCCAAGAATTACTTCCTTTTACTATTTAAAGAGAAGGTTTCCTGGGAGAGTTTTGAGAGGGAAAAAAGTAACCAGATAGCCTTTATGTTCAGGAAATACATGCACAATCATCTTAACCCCCTTCTATACAAATGAGACCAGAGTTTAAGCCTACTAACTCTTCACGTAAGTATAAAGGGGACTGATTTTTTTTTTAAAGATAACAGGATAGATAGAGTTAGGCTGACGTAGTGGGATTGGAACCTGAATGGCACTGAGGTGGACCAACTATAGGAAGCCACTGACCCCAAGCTAGGTGGGTATTCCTAAGACTGAAACAAGAGAAGCCCACAGGAGACAGCACTGGCACCAAATATGTAGCATTTTTTGGTACCATGAAAATTATAGAAGGGGAAAAGGAAACAAAAATGACTACAAAAGTTTTAAATTGACTAGTGATGACTGGTGGTGGAAAGTCTGCTTAACCACTCCCAGTCAGCTCAGGGGTCAGCCTGGCCACAAGCAACAGGTGATTTGTTAACATACGGACCCTGCTGCTTTCTCAAATAATATGAATGGTGAGGCCAGCATTAACTAGAACTCAAATCATTTTGATGTCTTTTGCTTATTTATTTAATAAAAATCTGATATGGAACAGCAGAGATTTCTTGACTACCCATTTCAGCTCAATGCCACGGGGAGGTAAGTGTACTCTCCTCTGCTGCCCGGGCAACCAGAACAAGCCGGGGAATATCTCCATATGGAATTAAAATCTCAGTCTTTCCTAGGACCTGCTTAGATATTGTGTTCCTGGGAGGGTAGCATGTTCTATTCATCTCTAAGTTCCCAATATTTAAAACAATATTTAATATATTAAAAGGGTTTTAATAAATGATTACTTAGTAACTTGTTGGACAAATCCATGTATTGTCTGAAAAAGTTTGGATTTTATTTCATTGGATAAATTTAGACTAGATTGTAAACTGAGGCTTCAGTGAGCAGTGAAAATGTCACTGATGGGGAACAAAGCTTAGATTATCAAGCCTCACCATGAACGTGACACTGGTAAGAGCTACCATTTACTGATGAGCTGGAAGTCTACAGATAATCTACCTAATTGTCAAGATAGATATAATTGGCTCTACTTTATCAGTGAGGAAATCCAAGCTAAATGACTTGGCCAAGGTCAAACATCTACCAAGTGGCCAAGTAGGAATCAAACCCATAAGTGCTCAGCTCCAAAGCCTGCCCTCCCCTCCACCGTGGAGTCCCATAACCTACCCCAGGGAGATGGCAACTGCCATGTGAGCCTCAATCTTCAAGCCAAGTTGATAGCTTTCTCTGGCTCTACCTGTCAACTTAGGGCTCATCTACTTCAGCACAGATATAGACATAGGCTATCTATA